AGGGTGAGATGACGGGGGGAGGGGTTGCCTGCCTGCAGCAGCAGCCTGGAGGAGCCTGTTGGGTGCAGGGCTTGTCGTGCAGCGCACTTGCAGCCCGAGCGAACGTGGGGGGAGGGGGGGAAAGCAGTCCCGGAAGTCTGCGAGAAAGCTTGTGAGACGAACTGCAGTGGGCTGTCTGTCCGGATGTCTGACTGGCTGGCGCTGCAGAGTACCTTTAATCCCCCCCTCCGTCACTGCTGGCTCTCGCCCTCACTTTTCTGCCCTTCAGGTGCTGCATGCATGAGGCGCAGGAGAGAGAGGGAATGACAGGTCGCCTTTCCCCCTTTCCTAGAGGCCGGACTCGTCGGAGCTTGAGGGAGCTACAGCAGCAGTAGGAAGCTAGCTCTGAGCTGTCTTGGGGTAGGACAGGAGGCGTTGAGGTGCGACAGCACACGACACGACACGAGCTGGATGGCTGCGTTTGGCGTAGTGCCGTGCCTCAGTCTCCCGCCGCGTTTTCAGATTTCACGCTGCGAATGAAAAGGAGTTGAGCAGACTGAAGACGAGAAGGGGGCAGAGAGGAGGGATGGTCCATGAGCGAGTTGCCGAACGGAGTGTGCCATCCCACCACTCGAGAGACAATCCCATCTGTGCATCTCCAAGCGCTATGTTTCACGCGCCGGACCCCGGAGCCTGCCGACATAGGAGGAAAGGGGTCTTGGCAGAAAGTGTAAGGCGCCGTTGAGCGAGAAAAACGAACATGTTATTACTCGATGGCTGAGGGTAAGAGAAATCATGGGAATTCTTTTTTTCTTCGCTTGCGCAGGGCCCTTTGGCTCGTGCGCACGTACATTACACCTACGTCAGGCCTCATCAGGGTCAGGGTGTGTGTGTGTGTGTGTGTGTGTGTGTGTCGGTCAACTCGGCCTGTCATTCGCCCGCAAGAAGGATGAGAGAGAGACACTACTCACTCTCTCTAGTTCGACAAGCGCAACGGTGGTGGGAGAGAGAGAGACGAGGCAGCATTCCTTTTGAGTTCTCGAGTTGTAATAAGGCCCTGTCACTTATTGAACTAACCCCGCATTCGATCGGCGCCGATTTGCTGGTCTCTCTGCGCGGCCACCATCTCAGGGTCCAACAACCATGTTCCATGCCTTTCCTTTCTCTCTCGCTCGCTATGTACACCCGGCTATCCGTACACCACCATTCACACCTTTTCTTTGCGGCAGTACCACCACGTCCGCGTCCACCACACCACACCACCATTGAACCACTACGGACAGACCAGGGGTCCAAGGCTTTCCGAGAGGGCTGGCGCCTGCTGGGTCGAGGGCAGATTGACCGAGAAGAGGAAGAGTCGAGGGTGGGAGGAGGAGGCAGGAAACGTCTATAAGTTCCTGCCTCTCTCCTCCTTGTTTTCCAATGTTTTTCTCTTCTTCCTCATCCATCACTCTCGACGACAAATAAACCATTGAAGACTACAAGTTTCAGCCTCGAGCAATCAGCCTACACGCACAAACAACTACTCACACCACCAAACACCACCACCACCCAACCATCAAAATGCCCGCTGCTCCCTCCTGCTGCAAGTGCGGAAGCATGATCGTCATCAGCAACTCGTGCCCGTCCTGCGGCCACCACGAGTGCCGCACCTGCCTCTAAACAACCCACATGAAGAGCGAGAAGATGCTCGGGAAGAACACGGCGTGAAAACCTTTCTTCCCCTGCTTCGGCTGAAGTGCGCTTTTCATTACACCGAGAGAGGCTCCGACGAATCACCACACACAAAAACTACAAACCAAAACCTGCGCCTTACATCCACAACCAATGGACGGATGGCAAACGCCTTGATCGCGCTTTGGCGCGACAGGCCAGGCTGAGCCAGGAAGAAAAAAACAGACTGTAGTGGCACCCCCCACACACTCAGTCTTCCTAGCATCGCAGCAAGCCGATGAATTCCGAGCCTGCCATGCCCAAGCTTTGAGGCTCCAACGAAAATTTTTCGGCGTCATCTTCAACACCACCCACCATCCACCACACGGGTTCGGCGTGTGACGATTTCTTATTTCCGGTGGCGAGAGGACAGGCATGAGGCGGATTGTTCGGCGTCGGGATGGACCCTTTTGAGTCGTTAATTTCGCGTTTTCATGATCAAATACCCTCCATACCCCTTGTTTGTTTTGGATATCTTTAGCACCGGCGCTGGAACGAGAACGGCGGGCTGCTCGGAGAAGGGTTTCGGGGACAAGGAGTGCTTCAGGTCACTTTTGTTCGAGCACTTGTACAAAACATCTCTACTATTCCATTAAAACAATTAGAAAATCAGAAAATCTTTGTCTAACCTTTCTATGCCCTAGTGACTCTGCGCAACCCTCTGCTGCGACACTTTTCGTGGAGAGACTGAGCTGAATGTAATTGCCCGTCTGCCTTACGGCCTGCACACCGAAAATGTGGGTGATACAAGACCCGGAAAAGTGGTTCTTGCGCAGCGATGTTAGCGCCGGAAATTTTTGTCGGTTTTCTTCTGCGACCCGATGCAGCCCACCGGACGGGACCGTTCCACGGACCACAGGGGCAGAAATGGCATGTTTTTGGCATGAAGCTTTCGACTGACCACCACAATTTAAAGTCGGCCCATCGTGAAACAGTCGTGGTGCGTTGCGGTTCACAGCGTTTGGCTCGCGTATGTCTATGAGCACTGAGCAGCCGGCCGGGCGACTTGCTGTAGCATGAGGTCCCGAGGCATCCATCCACCGACGATGTAGGATCGGCGGCCGAGGTGGTATGTTTTCTGGAGCAAATACCGGATAAGGCAGGCCTTGCATACCTTGTGAGAAGAAGTACGGACGGAACGATGAGGGGCGTGGTGTTCAGATGTCTAGAACACAACGCGTCGGCGTTTTCGCCTCGGCTTCGGTGCAGATGAGCGCCTACTCGTGATCCACACATGCCCTCAACAACGCAGACTACAATAAACCGGCTTCATCGCGAGCAACAAAAGATATGCCAAGGACCCTGTTGTTGAAGCCCAACGCCCCTTTCGAGAAGCGAATCACTAGTTGAAACGACAACTCTCACGGAACCAATGAGGGGCTCTGTCGATCTCTGGTTGGTTGCTCAGGGTTCCCTGGAACACCTCGTTTCTCCAACTACTTGAATGTACTATTTCAATGGTCACGCGACAACTTTTAAGATTTTATATCTCGAGAAATATGGGATGCCAAGGCGAACCTAAGTTCTTGCTCCGAGTTAATGCTAACAGAAAATCTTGTTCCTCGGGTTAAAGGTCTCCGTTTTCTGCCGTTAGACCTCATATCACCTTGAATTCAAGAGGTGTTCTGTCTCTGAACTAAGACGTTAAAGACCTCCGATGTGAAATAGCACCTCAATTGACGCATCGCTCGGATTACAACTGTTAACCACCGCCTCAAACAATCAAGTAAAGGGTTAAGAGTAAGAAGCTCAACGACCTACCTAGGTAATTTGTACAATTCCACATTTGCAATGAAGAATATTTAAGATCTACGAGTGAAGTTTGAGTAAGTAAAAGAATTGTCACCGGAAGGCTTTCGGGAAACTACAAATTGCTTGAAGTAGATGTGTCCATCGATCCCACCGACAAGACAGGCAGCCCTGCGGTGTTTAGGAACGTGCCGCGGGTACTGTGACAAAGACACCGATGCAGTCTTTTCTTATTGATAAGAAATTTTAGATAGTGTTTAACAATTGCCGATTGATGATGGGGCGTGTACTACGGCCTCGACGAAGGCAGGAGCCTAGACCGCATGTCTAAATGCTTTGGTGAAACCATCACAGTATGCTAGATGCAGGGACACATCTTTGGGTTTCAAGATCACATAAATTTCTTCCTACATGAAGGGAAGATTCTTTGTGAAGAGATGTTTCCCTTTCCAGGGGAGGTGTTACTTCTAGGAGATGTTAAGGCTGGAAATAGGAGCCGTAGCTGCATGCTACCTAGGCATCATCCAGGAATAGGTTGGTGATTCATTTAAATTTATGACTTGGAAGAGGTCACGAGGGAAAACATTGCTCGCCTATGGCATTTCAAGATCTAGTGGAGTATCCATGTGGCCAAACACGATTGGTTCCCCTTTTGCTAAAATCAGGCTACGACTGCACTCGTGTGACAAGACACATTTTATCCGGCATGAAATCATTACTTTAATGACTCTAGCTAACTAACAGTGCTGGAATATTGCTAATTGGTGAGAAGTAATCGATTATTCTGGCTGCTCGCGAGGCATTTGCTAGACAGATACTCGATGTCTTCCGTTGAGACACCTTCGACAATGGGCATGCACAGCCAAGATCAGGGGCAAGACTGCCAAAGAGGACCCTTGCTACGGCGTCTATCATCTCCGTAGTCCATTCAAAGTCTTCAAGAATGTACCGAAAAGGGCTGCTCGTCTTGCCAAGGACTGATCGACATCATTAGACAGACGAAGCCGTGGTGGTTGTCCGAAGCGCAGGCACGCGACCTCTATATTTCTATCAGGCCACAGCAGAGATGGCTATTCAACTCGAACCTGTCGTCGCTGCACTCGGTAGGCTCTGGGACCATTCGACTGCTCGAAGTTACGAAGCCGATAGACCACCTACAGCTCTATCGACGCATCACAGGTAGCTGTCGAAATTCCCACTGCCAAACGAGGGCGGAGGTAACTGACGACGTGTAAGATGTCGAGAAGCTAGAATCAGGCGACCTGGACAGGTTCGAAGAGATTGTCTTTGGATAGAGCATCGAAATAGCGCCGTCATCAGACTCTGACCTGGCGTTCGCCAGAGCCTCACTATGGTTGCGGAACTGCGTGGAAAGACATCCCGCCTGTCGGCCTAGCGACCCCGGTTTCGCGCCCCGCCGACTCTTAAGTATTCAGAGCCCTTCGGGCGACCAAGTGACTCTCGTTGAGTCCTCCAGGATCGGCCCCCTACGGTATGCGGCTTTGAGCTACTGCTGGGGCCCCGACACGAGTGGCGTCAGGACGACGGTGAAGTCGAACATGTCATCTCACGCTTGCGGCATCCATGTGTCAGAGTTGCCGCAGACAGTCCAAGACACCATCAAAGTCTGCGTCAAGCTGCAAGTCAAGTACCTCTGGGTCGACGCGCTGTGTATCGTCCAAGACGACGCCGCCGATTGGAACGTCGAATCCGCAAAGATGATGGACATCTACGCGAACTCCTTCTTCACCATCACCGCGAGAGCACCGAGCTCGTGCAAGGTTGGATTCCTCGGCCAGCAGCAGCTGGGAAGCACGGGATGGCAGAGACCCATCTGCGCCCACGTGCCGCCCGGCCTAGGTCCTTCTGGAGACTGCCTCTTCGTCAGGGATGGCGAGGTCGAGCAGTTCCAGGTCTTTTCCCTGGACTCCCGCGGCTGGTGTCTGCAGGAGAACATCCTCCCGCAACGGAGACTGGTGTTTGACGGCCGGGAAATGGCGTGGCGCTGCCGCGAGAGGAACATGTGCGAGTGCGGCCATCTCGACGAGGATGTCGACGCCGGCGATGAGCCGCTGATGTCGGGCTCAATCGACGGACCGACAAACCTCCAGGAACTTTCTCAACTCCACCGGGAATGGCTGAAGCTGGTCGAGCTGTATTCGCGACGCTTCCTGACGAGATCCAGCGACAAGCTGGTCGCGTTGTCAGGTCTGGCGAGATTATTCCAGCAGAGGTTCTCCCGCGCGAAGATCTTGTCCCGGGACGAACATATCATTGCAATATTTGACGAGAAGACGCTGGTAACATTGGATCCCCCCATGGCGCCCGGCCTACCCGCATCCTATTACGCGGGACTCTGGAGAGAAAGCTTCGTCCTCGGCCTTGCCTGGACGGTCGAGTATCCCCTCCTGAACAAGACGGGTCATGCTGAGCACTCAAATCACAAGGAGTATTGTGCGCCGAGCTGGTCGTGGGCTTCGGTGGACGGACCCGTAGTCTTCCGACACATGGAAGTCACCGCTGGCAGGTACGAAGAGGGTGACAACCCGCAGTTGAGTTGCGACGTGAAGGTGAGGGGCATCGCGTGCATTCCGAGCAACGTCGCAAATCCCACAGGCGGAGTAATGGAGTCGGCGTCCGTGGTTGTCTCTGGTCTCTTGGCCCCGGTGGACCTGGCTACGCTTCATGTCAAGGATGACTCGGTGTTATGGAGCTATACGTGGTACAATCAAATGCAATCACCGGGAGATGGGAAGGGGAGATACAGAGTGACATCCTTCGCCCGCACGCGGAAGAAGCAGAGCTGGCGGGTGCTTCTGGACGTCGAGCAGCGTCCAACGATAGATGAGGGGAGCTCATATGCCTACTGCCGGACGTCCCCAATGCGGCCGAGGGGTGAATTGAATTGCTACCCGTGGGACGTGAAAACGTATTATGCTTGCCTTCAGCTATATACCTTCCAGAAGCAAAAGTTACACATGAGAGAGTAGAGACACAATTTGCATGGGGTGCAGGTGATTGTCGGGTTTCTGGTATTCAGGAGGGTGGCCGGCGAGAGGGACACTTATGAGAGGATTGGCTTTGGGATCTGGGACTCCTTCGAGGGGTTCCAGGAGAGAGCAGAGGTCTTCGAGCTGTTCTCTGATGCGAAGGAGGAGACGATCAAACTTGTCTGGAGGTGTGATTGCCTAGAGCCACTCTGAGACTACCATGTGATATCTACATGTACTATTTTCCGCTCAAAGGATCAACAACTTCAGCGTCCACTGCTTATAACATGAAGTCAAGGTTCGCAATTGATGAATAGATGTTCAAAGCCGATCAATTGATTAACTGGAAAAGCTGACGAATCCAGAATGAATTCACAGGAACTATGTTCATGAAAGTACAAAACGCCTTTATTGCTCGAGTACACGCTCAGCTTAATTGAGGAGATGAACAAATGTGATAGAAAGCAAGGTTGCAGAACCAAAGAAGAAGCTATCGAACCACTGCTGCACTCTAAAAGAACCAGAAACAACCACCGTGCTCGGTTTGGAAGATACTGATGCGCCAGTAATTGACTCGGTCGAGGAGGGCGATAAGGGCTCCTCGCCAGAGCTGGGGCCGGAGCCGGGGACGAAGTCCGAGCCGCCCGGACTCGTGCCACCGACACCGGGACCCGCACCAGCAACGTCTGAGGAGCCTGCTATGGAGCTTTCTGGCTTTGATGAGCTGACAACCTGCGTGGGAATAGCTGCAGCAACAGAATGAATGTCGGCCGCACCAACTGAACCAACAGATGCGACAGGTGATTGAGGTACAACAATTGGCTTGCCGGCGTCCGATAAGTCGGTTGGTGCTGGCGCCACCTCCACAGGAATCCTGCTCGGCTGGGTTTGGCTCTCTTCGGGGTACAGCTTGCTTTCTTGGGGCTGTGAGTGGTTTCCTCCGGAACGATACTTTTCTTCGACAACGGACTGTTGAGTTCTGTATGGGCTCTCCGGAACGGTAAGCGTGACTAAACTTTCGCCTTTGGAGCCGCACCTATTGCAAGATGCCTCAATCGTAGTCATCGGGACGGTCGGGGTAACCTGTGTCGGGCAACCGCAGTGTGGGAAATAAAGCGTCGAGAAAAGTTCGGTTTCCATGAGTGCTGTGGGATTTGCTGGGTTGATCGTGGTGTATGTTATCGTGGTCACAACGGAGGTCATGGGCATGTCGACACCGAGATTGCCATCACTCTCGCTCCCCACAAACGATGAAATTCTGGACGTTGCAAGACCAAGAGTTGTGGTAAGGGGTTCCAAGACATCGCTGTCGCCCCCAAGCCCAGGAGTAGAAGCTGCGGTGGATGATCCCACGTCGGACACAGTCTGTGAGCCGGAGAGTCCCACGGAAGACGAGGGATCAAGTACATCGCCGTCATCTCCAATACCGGCTCCAAAACCTGCAGTCGGCGTTCCCATGTTGGGTACTGTTTGTGAGCCAGCAAGTCCGGCCAAGGAGGAAGGGTTCAAAATGTCGCCATCATCGCCTGGGGCAGGGATCGCCGTGATAGTGGGGGAGGTCGGTGCAGTTGTGGATGGTGTGATGACCCCTGTCAATGTTGTTGGGACGCCGTCAACAATGAACACGCTCGTGAAAGAGCTCGACTGTGGTGAAACGGCAGGATCAAGAGTGTTTCCAATCGTTGTGAGCTGACCTGAAGGTGTGCCTCCGTTTATAATAGGAGTGGTATTCTCTGCTGCCGTCGATGGCAAGACCGAGTCGCCTCCAACAGGAATGATCGTTGTAGTTGTGCCAGGGGTCACGACAACTGAATCCACCCGTTCGTAAATGGTGAGAAGTACACTGCCAGGGACAGCTCGCTTGGAAACTTGTGGTCTGAAATGCCGCGCGCGCAGCCTGGTGATGTTTGTGGCCACACTTCCGCCGCATATCTGCTGAAGATCTCCTGGGCACGGTGTTCCACAGCCCTCTGTGGGCACAAATGATGCCGACTCGAGAGAGTCTGAACCGTAACAGGTGCTGAAAGGGGATGAATGTTAGCTACAAGGAGTACTGGTGTTTGTAGAACTGTACTTGCTCGAAGAAGACGCCAGCATATCTAAGACTTCCTGCCAACTGTATACACCTTTGAGGGGTCATGGCGGGATCCCTACCAACCTCATTGAAGGAGGGGTAGCCAGCTTGAGAACCCAAGCAGCCCCGGAACACATGATTGTTAATGACAGGTACGTTGGATGCTGTGGGCTCAGCTGAAGGCAGCGTGCTTGTGGCGGCTGGTTGAGTTTCTGTTTGAGGTATCGTCATCGTTGCCGAAGTCGAGGCGGCCGGTATGTCAATGAATGGACTGGATGTCGCTGGACTGGATGTCGCTGGACTGGATGTCGCTGGACTGGACGTGGGTGTAGTGGTTTCAGGGGATGAAGCAGGTCTGATGGTAGAAGAAGGGAAGCTAGCCGAGAATTGTAGTGTTGAACCCACCGAGATCAATCCGACTGGTGACGAAACAACAACATCTAGGTCCAAAGTTGCCATCAGGGAGGATTGAGAGATATCTGACGTAGTGCCTCGGGAAGTTTGTGACGGTGTATCCTGCGCTATGGGCGAAGACGGTGCAGACTCCGTGGATGTTGTATTTGTAGTTCTGGTTTCTGAACTGCTCGCCGCCGCGTCAAGTGGTGTTGTTGCTGTGGTGGTGGACATTGTGGTTGCGCCAAGGGATATTTCCGCACTTGGTGGTGCAGTCGAAAGAGCCGAACTACTGCTCGATGCCGTCTCCAACATCGTCAGGCTCGTTGTGATAGGGAGGTCGGATGGTAGCGAATCTGCAGTAGCTGTCGGTGTTATCAATGGAAAAGATATTATCGGGGTGCTAGTAGTCATAGCGTCTCCAGAAGAGCTTGAGGCTGAAGCTTCTATTGTTGCAGGAGAAGTCTCAATCGTTGCGCGGCTCAGTGAGAAAGTCGATGGGCTTGATCCGAGTGTCGACGATGAAAACGCAGTTGTTTCTGTTGATATGTCACTGGCGGTAGACAACGTAGATGACACGGTTGCTACAAGCTCTGGCTCAAAGACACTGGTTGTCGTAGCTGAGGATGCTCCTGTCGAGCTTTCCGTAGAGGTTTCCGATGTTGATAGAAGCTCTGGTTCTGAGGCAGTGGTGGTTGTAGTCGAGGATCCTTCTGTCAATATTGCCGTCGAAGATGTCGGGGCCGGGTATCCAGACACGGCAAAAAGTACTGCTGAATCGACATAGGCATTCGTGTTATCACAAACACCGATTAACAAATTGTGTTGGATCATTTGACGTCGGCGTACACGAGCTGGCGTAGCATATAACACGGGGAAAACAATGGTTCGGGTAAGAGCTCGAGGATATGAGAGACCGAGGTCTGCGCCGTTGACGGACAGATCTGTTGACCGGGCAGATCTGAAAAAATTATAGTCTGATGGAAAATCCCACTGTACGTCAAGCAGATCGTTTTGATCAAGTAACCTGCTTACTGTCAGCGCAAAACGATGCGGTTAGTTCAGAGCCGACAAACCCTTCACCCGTGGCAAAAATGAGTGTCAATCTGAGCTCGCTTATACCTTCAGGAAACTCGATATCCATCTGAAATTGTGATTGATCCCCACATCCTCTATTATAGACTGGGCCAAAAGCCGTGCTGGGTACGCATTGATTTGGCACTCTCCGCTCTGTGAAAACGCTCTCCCGAACGCTCTCCCGAACGCTCTCCCGTGGGCATTGGTATCCTACTGGTGCATCTTCGACTTTTCCTGTACTTAGAATAACTCCGGAAAGTCCGTTGGGGCCGTCTGTGAACGTTCCATAGGAAAGAGGGCCGCCGGCAGCTGTGGGGAACTGGGGTCCTCTCGGTGTCAAACGACTATCTTGGATTGCCGCGGTTGCCAGTTCATTAGCACTACCCCCAGATCTGATGATGATGCATTCTGCTAGGCTCAATAATGATGCACAAGCGCAGAAACTGCGCACGAATCTCGTCATTCTCAAAAGAATTGCAGGGTTGCGGGTTGCCGATAAGATCGAATCGAGAGATGCGATTGATGTTGTGTGCACAACAAGTGCGACGAACACTATATAAGGTAAGATATAATATTTCTAGGGACGGTTTGGCTGATTCGAATCCTGTGTCATTCCACTCAATCCAATGAAATTTGCTTTTTCTTTCTAAGATATGCATCATTGAATTACGCTGGTTCAAAATACGCCTGGAAGTTGTCTTGCAGCTTCATCACAGGGGGGGGATCACTTGGAGCAGGTATCAGTATCCATAAGTTGGGCGGATCAACGTGCATGCCTTTCATGTGGATTCTGTGTTGCGCTCGAGGTCAAAATTTGGCTTCAAGAATGGAAATTCCTTTCAATGGCATGCGTACCAACTGGTTGGGTCTGGAGGCACGGATCCTATTGAGCCAATTTCTCTCCGCCTCACCATCGACCACTCAGCCGCTGTTGCATGCAGGATGATTAGCAAGTCAGTTGAAAATCTATTGCCGATACAGTTCTTCGACTATTTGCTATGGATGGTAATTTCGGGCCTTTGGGAAAGATATCCATATTCAAAGGAAGGTGTACCTTATCAGATGCTTTGAAGCCTTTCAGTAAGACCAGGGCAAGCTCCGTAAGTATGGTTTACACGGGAAAATGCTTTGAAGACATGAAACCCACGGGCCGTAAATTTAAGTGATCAAGCTCGGCAACACCGACGATTATGTGCTACACATTCTGCCGCAGTCGACGCTTCCGAGCTCAGCTCTTGGCAGATCTCAGACAGGTGCTCTGAACTCAACGCCTTCTTTCTCAGACAGTCTCAGACTTCAGCTGCTTAGTCGCCAGCCATGTGTCGCACCGCATACCCCATACGTTGAAATCATGTTCCTTTCCCGGACCTTAATGTTACCTGGGGTCTTCACCCTTGCAATCCATGTCTAGATGATGAAAGAGACTGAACACCATGGTTCATGTCGGATTAACCCTTCATCACTCCCGATCCAACTTGTTATTCATAGACGTTTGGTACAGATATAGCCCTTAATGACGTCGTCTAATTTCGAAAGAGGCGTGGCAACTATTTCTTCACAGATTTACACGGGTCATGACGGATTCATGAGACCAACAGAGAGAACCTCACTCCCGAGTACCCGAATTCGTAGACAATTTGTGACGAGTGGCTCTTCAAGGAGCTCAACTAATCCACCACCTCTCGTGGTAACTCCGTAGATCAACATTCCCACTGAAGGCTTCCTTTTCAAGCCATGGCGTAAGATCTACGTCAGAGGGAGCTTCACCATTTGCCGCCGCCACATCCTTCTTCGTCCATCCATTCCCCAACCATCCAAATCTGTTTCCTTGAGGATTGTTGTACGTGTAGCTGAAATCTTCCCATCGAGGGTCTTTCCGGACCAAGTCCACGTGCGCAGCACTGCCAGGCCATAACCCGTGAATCCTGCCACCTTTGATCCCTCCGTTGTACCACGAACTGCATGACTCACTCATGACGGTACGAGGGAAGAAAGCTTCGGTGTAGGCCCGGAAGTCACGAGTCGCTTCAATTGTAGGTGTCATACTTCGAATGCCTTGCGTGGCAGCTTTGCGCAGTATTTTGGCAACATAGGTAAGCTGGTTTTCTACAACATGGCATAAGGTACCTGCTGGACCTGTGGCATTTGGTCCGAGTACTGTCAAGAAATTGGGGACTTCTGGAGCGAGCATGCCGAGGTATGTGTCAGGGAACCCGGGATTGCCACCGGGCCGCCAAGCTTTCTGCAGATCGAACCCATTACACAAGACTGGGAATTGAGTGCTGAAAGTAATGTCATGCCCAGTACTACAAATGACAGCATCCACCTCTCGGTGATTTCCTGTTACAAGTATCAATAAATAAAACTTTTTAACTGGGACTGAAAGGCCTACCGTCAACCGTTCGGATACCTGTTTCTGTGAGCTCTGCAATGTGGTCCCTGATGTACCTCACGTTGTCCGCCGTCAGCGCCTCCAGATACCCAGGTCCTGGTGTTAGCCGACGACAGCCAACGGAAAATTCAGGAATGATCTCTTCTGCTAGCTCATCGCTTCCGGAAAGGCGAGCCTTCATCAGCTTGCGGATAGACTCTTCGGCAGCTGCGTTTTGCGGTCCATCTTTGAAAATGCCACCAAAGCGACTAAAGAGCTTTGCTTCCAGAGCTTTTCGAAATCTCAAGTACTTCTCTGGGCTCAATCGCGCGTCTTCGATGTTATCGGCGACAAAGTCTGCAAGATCCTCTCCTCCAATCGGCGCTGCCACCCATGTCTTGTTGCGAGCATAGTGGTCGATTCTCGATGCGACTTTCTGCAATTGTGGCAGCACCTGAAGTCCCGAAGCACCATTTCCAATAACGGCGATACGCTTGTCTTTCGGGTTGAAGTTGGATCCCAATTTGAGGTATGTCTGAGGTGCCCCTTGAAGTCCTTGATGCCCGGATAATCTGGGAGCTTCGGGTCGCTAAAATGGCCTGTGGCAGTAATCAAGAAGTTGGCCTCGTCAACAAATTCTCCTTCATCTGAATGAATCTTAACAATCCACTTCGCCTTCTCTTCGGACCATTCTGCTGAGGTCACGGTATGGCAGGTACGGATGTACTTGCGCACCTCATACTGATCTGCGATGCGTTTCCAGTAGGCAAATATCTCAGGCCCAGTCGCGTACGCCTCCGTCCATGTCGTTGAGGGGGCGAATGTTGCCTGGTAAGCGTGGGCCGGAACATCGCATCGCACGCCTGGGTAAATATTGGTGTGCCAAACACCTCCCTACTGCCTCATCAGTAACCAAAGCTCAATAAGGCGTCACCGTGTCCATACAATATCTGAGTTTCTCTCGTAGACGACCAGGTCTAGATTGGGAACTTTCGCCGGCAGCAATATGCTGGCGATAATTCCACTTATGCCGCCTCCGACGACTATAGCTCGGATAGGTTCATACTCATCGATGGGATGTTCCTCGATCGCAAAATGCGGATCGATGGTTTTCAAAACATCCGTATGCTCCCTCGAATCTGCGTTGTGGTCGTGATTGACCAGGTCAGCAATAGCAGTAGGGGCCATATCGTTGGGAATTGAATGGATAAACCATCCATGAAGGACACTAGAGATGAATGTCTGCTTCAATTACACTGAAAGCCGAAATGTTCAGGCATAAAAGATAGTAGATCTTCAATCACGCAACGCTTTTCACTATTGGTAAATCGCCTGGTAGGATTCTGCATGCATGGAACTAGGAGCACGTAGTTTCGAACGATGCTGGCGTGATAGAGATATGATAGTAATCGGGAACAGATCTGGAGCCGTAGCAGGAAATGCTTAGCAATCTCTCAGAAGTTCAACATGCGGGAGAGATAAGAGCAGAGAAAGCTAGCGGAGCAACGTTGTCGTGATGGCTGATTTCTCCACCTGCCTGCTTCTGCATCGGAGTAATTGGCAGCATCTAGATGGTTCACCGGGGTTGCATGGAAGTATTTGGGTAGCCGGTAGGCACTGAAAGTCACATTGGTCTTCATCAGGCAGAACAGTGTCGTTGATGTGGTGTGGCGCACGCCATCCTTGATTCCGATTGCGAATCTGCAACCCCACTGTTGGGTTAATGTAAGGGATCGAGAAGTCTGACAATCTGCCGATTTCGGTCGCGTCTTCTTCAGTGAATACGTAGTGGTACAAGCTGTAGAGCTGATTCATTTATCTGGCAACAAGGAAGATCCAGGCGATGAGACGAGTTGTGCTCCTAAACTAAACTTCACTTTGGTGTTTGTGTATCGTTTAATGGGATCAATGGCGACATCGGAAAAACGACGAATCATTCTCAATGCGTTTGATATGTTCACGCCTAGTCATCTGTGCTTCGGCCAGTGGCGCAGACTCGACGACACGGCTTCTGACAAGTTTAGTGATCTCAGCTACTGGACGAGTCTAGCACAAACGCTTGAGCGAGGAGACATCAACGCATTGATTCTTGCAGATACGTACGGTCAGCATGATATCTACAAAGGAAGCGCAGAGCCAACCATTAGAACATGCTGCCAGTACCCTATGGGAGACCCAGCTGTGGTGAGTATGGGGCGTCATGTACAAGAACCGCATTAACCAGTGGTAGCCAGTGACTGCGATGGCTGCAGTGACGAAGAACCTTGGGTTCATCGTCACGACAAGCACGAGTTATGAGGCTCCGTTCGTAATTGCGAAGCGCTTCTCAACTCTAGATCACCTTACTAAAGGGCGCTTTGGATGGAACATTGTGACTTCGTTCAAAGAGTCGGCTGCAAAAGCAGTGGAGTACCCATTTCAACACCACGCAGGTTCTGCCCACCAACATTCATGTTAGGTTGGTGTGTTATACGTCGAGCATGATGAGCGGTACGCAGTTGCGGGTGAGTATGTTGAGCTTCTTTACAAGTAAGTTGAAACGTTCCTAAAAGCAGGCACGACTAACGGAAAGTCAGAATATGGGAGGGCTCTTGGTCAGATGATGCTCTGAAGAGAGACAAATCGAACGAGATTTATGCAGATCCTGATGGTATTCGTTGGGTCAAACATCATACGTCGAGGTTCAACGTGGATGCGCCACATATTTTGCACCCGTCCCCTCAGAGAACGCCATTTCTTCTTCAGGCGGGAACATCCTCGTGAGTGATTTCTGTTCTGATATACCTAGACGCGCGTAGAAACTGACATCATGCGAGTGCCGGAATTGCATTTGCTGCTAAGCATGCTGAGGCTATCATGGTATCAGGGCTCTCACCCCACATCCTGGCACCACGTGTGGCCGCCATCCGCGAGAAGGCAGCAGAGTTTGGCCGCGATCCTCGTAGCGTGAAGATATTTGCAGTAGTTACCCCAATCATTGGCCGAACCAATGAGGAGGCAACTGCCAAGTACGAAGAGGCATTGAAATACGCAAGCTTCGAGCCAGGTCTTGCATTCTTCTCCGGCAACGCTGGGATAGACCTTTCCAAGTATGATCTTGACGCAGAAATCAAGCCCGATGATGCCAAGATTGACGGTAGAGTGCACTCGCTCGTCAACAGCTTGAAGTATCGCGGCGACGATATTCCTACTTGGACACCCAGAAATATCGGAAAGGCGATGGCTATCGGCGGGAATGGGCCGGTGCCTGTGGGGTCCGCATCACGGGTAGCTGATTTTCTTGAGGAATGGGTGAAAGTGGCAGGTCTTGATGGCTTTAACGTTGGATACGTGACGAGCCCAGGGAGCTTTGAAGACGTCGTAGATTTGCTTGTCCCCGAAATCCGCCGAAGAGGTGTCTATGCACCACTGGGCGAAAGCGGCACCGTACGCGAAAGAATCTACGGCACGGGGCAGAAACGGTTGCGCGACGACCACACTGGGAGTCGTTTCAAACATGGAAAATACTCTGGAAATTGATAGCAGAGGTAAAAGGGCACCACTGCTTTCAGATGGCAGTATGAAATTTGCGATGAACGGCTTTGGATTAACCTATTCGTACCGAAGAAAGCATGGGTACAAGTGCGATATCGCGGATCACGTCTTGCAGTAGCCAATCCACTACCTTGCCTCAATGTCGCCATCATTCCCAAATTTGCATCAGCACTAAGAGCTCGGCCTTCTTCCGAGATGTCAATCAGTAAAGCGAATCGTGCCGACGGCTGTCAAATGATAACTCTGCACGGGGATTTGACCAGTTGCTTTTACTTTTGCCTTCCCAAAACACCATACTTGGGTCTTCAGAAATCAAAGTTATCTTTCGCGTCATTCTTCATGAGATGGAATCAGAAACGACTTCCAAGGGAGACAGCGTTCAACAGCCAGAGGATTCACATGTCACCAGCACGAAATGGGAACGGGTTCAGGAAGTGATTTGGGACGGCCCTCGGTCGAAAGACGAGAAGCGGCTTATTCAAAGACTTGATCTGTTTGTCTTGTAAGTGTTTGTTCTCTGGCTACAACGGGCTTTTCTTTCTAACATCACCGTGACGTAGGATTTGGGCAACCTTCGGCTACTTTGTCAGACTACTCGATTCAAGCAACATAAGTGAGTCTAGCCAGGTATTGAGCTCAAATCAACAAACCACGCTTCATCCAATGCCTACATTAGTGGCATGAAGGAAGACTTGGATTTTGAAGGCAACCAGTACAATCTTCTACAGACATGCTTCACCTGCGGCTACTTGGTGGGCCAGGTTCCGTCTCAGTTTCTTCTCACTCGCGGTATGTATTGATATAAGACTACTTGCGGCCATCCCATCTAATATGATCAGTTCGACCCTCGATATATCTACCGATGGCTGAGCTTCTGTGGACTATTGTCACTTTTTGCTTCGCTTCGGTCCGGAGCGTTCGCCAAGTTTCTGCTTTGCGGTTTCTACTGGGCCTCCTAGAAAGTCCTTTCGCAGTTGGTGTTTTGACAATCATGGGTAGCTGGTATACACCTAAAGGTAATAACTGCCAGTGCAATCAAGAGACTATCACTAATATTTTCAAGAACTTTCTAAACGTATATCAATCTTCTATTCGGCCAGCTACGCTGCTAGTATGTTTAGTGGATATTTTCAAGCTGCTATCTATAAAGGCCTCGACGAGGCGAGCGGTTTACCTGGTTGGCGCTGGCTTTTCATATTCTGCGGCTTCATCTCCATATGGGCACCACTTTGGGGCTTCTTCGCCGTGCCGGACATCCCGTTCATCACGAAGGCTCGATGGATGCGGCAAGGGGAGCAAGAGAAGCATATACGCCGCATGGAGGCGGTAGACCGGCGAAAGCCAGAGCCATTGACCAAGTCGAGAGTCTGGCAGATATTTACTAATTGGCCCCTCTACGTCTTTAGCTTTACGTTGATGTAAGACTCTTTCCTTGAAATACCCAGCAGTAAACTAACTGAGACAAGATGCCATTGTGTGGTAACGCAGCCACTCAACTACTTCTCGGTATGGCTCAAATCTTTAGACCGCTTCACAGTCTACCAGATCAACCGTTTCCCTACAGCTGCGCAGGCCGTTGGGTTGGTCACCACATTGCTTTATGCATGGCTTTCTGATGGGTTGGAGAAACGATGGCAAGTCCTGCTCATACCCGCAGTTAGTATCCCAAATCATCCTCAGTATATGTATTTTCACTAAATTCATTAGATCATCAATTTGATCGGTATGATCATGGTCGCTGTTGGGTCAACCTACGCGCTGACATTCGCTGGGTATCTCATCAACGCGGCTTCTTGGGGCTTTTGGCCGGTACTTTATGTAAGTCTCTTGCTCATTTTGCATTCATCATACTGAATCATTGTAGGCATGGGCCATTGAGATCATGCATAAGAACATGGAGGAGCGAGCGGTAGTCATTGGAATCGCTCAGACCCTTGGTCAAGCTTTCATCGCGTGGGTCCCAGGTTCGTCATCCCCGATGCTCTCGCATGTGAATGGTCGTGTTGAAACGTTGCGTATCAGTGGTTATTCTCGACGTTGGGAAATATGCGCCCTCGTTCCACATGGGAGTCTCCATCATGTGCGGCGTAAGCGTCCTGGAGCTCTCAAGCATCTTTCTGATTAAGCACTTTGAAGAACGTGAGAAGGCTAAGGAGGAAAGGGCAATATCGGGAGTGTAATCCTACGAGATTAGTCACTGAATACGGTCTGCATTGCAACCGTCCTGGATATTGAGATGCACATTGATCCGTGTTACTCAACGTATTGTCAAGCATTCCTGCGATTGCGAATGTTCATCGGCAAAGCGGCATTCAATCATGGACGTAAATGTGGGCCAATCACCAGATGCCGTGTTAGCGGCCCAATCAGTAGTCAAACTTCTCAACTTAGATAGCAGCGACTATCATTATCCTTGGGCGTCGATCTCGTATTCATTCACCTCGTGAAACCTCATTACTACCTTCCAAAGACGGAAAGCTGGTATTCAAGAGTTAAAGGAAGCTCATTTCGCTCGAAAACAAGCTTTGAGCTCACGTAGTCCTGAAAATTCGCGGCTGCATTCGTCAACGCATCTGCAGAGCATTCTTCCTCACTTCTCCGGAGCTTCCGATTCTTTCAGGCTCGCAAACCGTCATGGTGAAGCTCCTTCACTTGTTGCTACTGCCAGTGCTGGCAGCCTTTGCAGCCGCAGCCGACCAGCCACCATCTGCTGCCTCCAGCTTCAAGAGTAGAGTTCACTATTTAGAAAATGCAAGGGCAGCAGCCAGACAACGACAGGCGGCATTTGTCGACCGAGCCTCCAATGCGCCGCGCTCAACTTCTTACCTCACAAACAAGACAATGCCTTTCGCCGTGAACGGAACCGGAGTGCCGCTCGTTGACTGGGATATCGGCGAGTCGTACGCAGGACTTTTGCAGATTTCGCAAAATGCGAGCGAGACGCGCAAGCTCTTCTTTTGGTTCTTTCCGTCAGAGAATCCCTCTGCCACCGACGAGATAGCAGTGTGGTTCACCGGAGGACCAGGTTGTTCTTCGATGTTGGGCCTGCTGCAAGAAAACGGACCTATCCTCTGGGAATCTGGAACGTATGGGCCTACGAAGAATCCGTACGCTTGGAACAAGCTCACCAATTTCGTTTGGATTGATCAGCCTGTCAAGACTGGGTACTCTACGGGTGAGCCAGATATTCTGAATGAGGATGATCTCGTCAGAGAGTTCAAGGGCTTCTGGAGAAACTTTATGGACATGTTTGATCTTCATGATAGAAAGATCTACTTGGTGAGTGGACTCGTGGCTGTGTCAAATTTTGGTTTGAAGTGGTTTTCTGAGCATAATAGACGGGTGAATCGTATGCCGGATTCTACGTCCCCTACATCAGCGATGGATTTCTCAAAGAGAGTGACACAGAGTATTTCAACATAAAGGGAATTGCCATCAACGACCCATTCATTGGCAATGCTCAATTTCAACAGGAGATCATCCTTCCGGATTTTATTGAATACTGGAACAATGTTTTGGGCCTCAACGACACCTTCATGTCGAGCCTGAGCTCTCAGAAGCAGCAGTGTGGTTACGCCGACTTTCTGAATAAGCACCTCGCGTTTCCCCCTCCGCCAAGGCCATGGGACGCGGTTCCATCAGACTGCGGAGTCTACTTTGACTTTATCGACGCTGTCATGGAGGTCAATCCTTGTTTCAATGTCTACCACATCACTGATATGTGCCCCTTCCCTTACCAGCCTCTTGGTGTGATCAATGGTGGAGACTACGTGCCACCTTCGGCGCCAGAGTCCTATTTCAATCGTGCGGATGTCAAGAAAGCCCTCAACGTTCCCGACGCAGCCTATTGGTGGGCGTGCTCGCTCAGTGGTGGCTTCCTCGGCGACGACCGTTCACCGGGGCCGGCTGTCGACGATACGCTCACACGAGTGATTGATGGGCTTAACAACACGATCATCGGCTCTGGGGCACTCGACTTCATCCTTCCGACTAACGGAACGTTGTTGGCGCTGCAAAACATCACGTGGAATGGTGCTCAAGGGTTCCAACAGAAACCCTCGACACCGTTCTTTGTGCCGTATCACGCCGAACAGAACAGAGGGGCCATGGCTGGGGCGGGAAACCTTGGTGTCTGGGGCTATGAGCGAGGAGTGACGTTCTATGAAATACAACTGGCGGGTCATGAGCTTCCCGGTTGGTCTGCAGGAAGTGGCTATCGGAGCCTGGAGCTACTTCTTGGGCGCATCAAGGACTTTAGTGACACGACTCCGCTGGCTCTTTGAGCATGGTTGATGGAGGCATGCGGCAGGAACCATGATTCCAAAGAGTGTTGGCCCAAGGGCGGATTGTATGCTTTACGGAAACCTTTGTCTAAGTTCTTGTAGAACGCTCGAAACCGTCCGACATTAGTTGAAAAGCATGCTGCCTAATTTCATGAAGATGGTACATGATTTGTGTTTTGCACTGAGGTGGCATGTTATGGCAGCACGATAAAAACGGACGGCCTAACATTGAGGACTAAAGATCGACTGAGCCTAAAGAGCCTAAAGAGGAGCAGCCGCCACGAGTGATGCCTGGCAGCATGAAGTCTGAAATCTTGTGAATTTGGTCCAGTCGGTTGCCTACCCATCAATGCCAACAGCCAGCTCGGCAGAAGTGCTTCCTAACCTCGCCGTCTGACATCAGACACGGCGTCTGAGTCACTCCCCGTCAGCGCTCGGATTCTACGCCAGTAAATTTGACACCCAGCGAAGCGTCTACACAGACGCTTTCAGGGCACATTCCACCCGGAAAGCCTTTCGCCGTGTTGGAGGATGAGGCGGTAAACAGGACAGGAATTAAACTGCGGTAAGCGATGGCGAAGGTGGGAATGGGAGGCCTTTATTCTCTTCGTAATTGTGTCCAACCAACAATTATTACCAATGAACCGCCAAGGACACTAGGACATCTCCGAATACAGTTTGCTGGGGGGGGGGGGGCGAAGCAAACACCACCAACAGAGCCGCCCGCCACTGGGTCCCGGGTCCCAGACGTACGGGACTCACGCGACCCGACAGGCATCCACTGCGCCCCGTCGCCCCTGAGAATGCCTAAGAGAATGCCTTTACCGCCCGGTGCCGACTCCCCGGTCCGAGGCCTCGGCGTCTCATTTCACCCCACAAACAACACTCTTCGGCGAGACGCCTTGACACACTAGTTCCAACACTGCCTGGTTAATTGCTCCATTTCGCGAAGGGAAGCAAACTTGTGAAAGGATTTTGCCAGTTTATGAGGGCGTTTGCCTTGAGGCAGCAAACAGTGTATCACTTCAGATGAGAGTAGCAGCGCGGTCTAATTGGCTGATCACCAGAGGCTGCGCTGGACGCCAGGGATTGGTCACGGCAATGTTTTGGCCTCTATTGCGGCCGAATCCAGCCAAAGGCGTCAGCCTAGACGGTCTTACCGCATCAGCCCCTCATCACAGGACATGGACCAGTGAATATGCGCAAGGCCAACTTGGAAATATCAAGTCGCCGGTGATTCACTCCCTGTGACCAACGGTTTGATATATGTGTGACCCGGAAACTTGCATCTTCGTTGTCTCTACACTCTTTCCTCATTGCAACCCAGTCAAAACCAACATCTCCGGTGGCTTGAGACATACTCGCGATGGTTGGTCCCCCTGCCAATACGACGACGATATCCCCTGCTGACATGCCTCAGGTCAAAAAGTGGTTGTTCGGAAGCCCTTCCAAGGGCAGCTCGCCTCCGGTCTCCCGTACCGACTCAATCAGGTCGACCTTCTCGGCGTGGACCACAACTAGCACCATGCAGGCAGACACAGAGGAACCCACCTCTTCCGACGATGTCGCCCTTTCCATCCATCCTCTCTCCACGAAAGACGGGCTTATCGCCAAGATAACTTCCCCAGAAGCACCTTCTAAGTCTATTGATCATGTGCCTTGCGACATCGTTCTGGTCATTGATGTATCGGGAAGCATGGGCTGCAATGCCCCTGTCCCCGCTAACCCGGGAGAAAAGACCGAAAACTACGGACTGTCGGTCCTGGACTTGGTCAAGCATGCCGCTCGCACAATTCTGGAGACGATGGACGAGACCGACAGACTCGGCATCATTACCTTCGCATCCAAAGCCAAGGTTGTTCAGAAGCTGATGCCTATGAATAAGAAGAACAAGACGCTGGCCGAAAAGAACATCAACGGCATGAGGCCAATCGACGCCACTAACCTCTGGCATGGACTTCTCGAGAGCATCAAATTGTTCAAGGAAGGTGGCGAGGTCAACACTGGCAGGGTTCCTGCCATCATGGTACTGACGGACGGCATGCCCAATCACATGTGCCCGGTGCAAGGATACGTTCCGAAGCTGCGTGGCATGGAGCAGCTTCCTGCCTCAGTTCATACGTTTGGCTTTGGATACTCTCTGAGGTCTGGCTTGTTGAAGTCCATCGCCGAGATTGGCGGTGGCAACTACTCCTTCATTCCGGATGCTGGCATGATTGTAAGTCGAGATGGTTCCCACTCTCACCCCCTATTGCGCTAACAAATGCCAGGGGACTGTTTTTGTCCACGCAGTCGCCAACCTCCAGGCAACATATGCTATCAACGCAACTCTACGGCTCACTTTCCCAGCAGTTATCGACCTCGAGGAAGCCACGGGAGACTCGGTCGACAAGCAAGAAGTCCTCACCCTGCCCGACGAAAAAGATGAGCCAAAGCAGCTTTCCATCTCTCTTGGAAACCTGCAATTTGGTCAGTCTCGGGACATCTATCTGCACATCAAGACTCCAGAAGGCTCTATTCTCGAAAAGTCCAGCGTCATCGCCTCACTTGAATACTCCCGCATGACAAGTGCTATCTACAGAAAGTCGACTGAACAGTCTCTCTCAAGTCCCACCACTCTCCCAGAGTCCGAGATCGCATATCATCTTTCCCGCTCTCAGATTTGTTCCTACCTGTCATCGATTATACCCTTGAGAGAAGACGGCGAGCACGAGGCGCTGAGTGATATCTCCCCGCAAAAGATTGAGACACTCGAAACTCTCATCAAAGGCCTCCCAGCACAAAATTTTCCCAATGACCCGAAAAATAAGTCATTGATCGAGGATCTGTCAGGCGACCAACCAAAGGGCCAAATTTCCCTCGCTCTCAAGAACCCAGAATACTACACGAAATGGGGTGTGCACTATTTTCCCTCTCTTTTAAACGCCCACACCAGGCAGATTTGCAATACCTTCAAGGATCCCGGACCGCTTCAGTACGGTGTCGACAGTCCTCTTTTCACCGCATGCAGGGATAGACTCGACAACGCGTTTGATAACTTGCCCGCGCCAACGCCATCAAATCATATGGTTGCAACCCACCGAGGCCGCATCAAGATGAGTTCATATAATACTTCTTCTGGAGTATGTTTCATCGCCTCCACTCCAGTTGTCCTAGCCTCGGGCCGAAAGGTTCCCATCAAGACTCTCCGAAGAGGTGTGGCGGTACAGACACCGTCTGGTTCTAGACGTGTCGTGGCCGTGCTCAAGACGCCTGTCCACCGGGAAATCATGTGTCGCGTCGGCGATCTCGTTGTCACGCCATGGCATCCTGTCTCCATGGACAGCGGAAAGAGCTGGGTGTTCCCCGCCAATGTGGCGCTGAGGCCGGTGAGGTACACTGGATGTATCTACTCAGTTCTTCTACAACCAGATATGGATGCAAGTGCGCATGCCGTGAATGTTGCGGGCATTTGGGGTGTTACTTTGGGTCACGGGCTTGTGACGGGACGGGATGTGCGTGCTCATCAGTTCTTTGGAGACTACGGCAAGGTTGTGAGGAGTTTGAGAAGGATAGGTGTTAAAAGAAGTGGTGTTGCTACTGGAGGAGGAGTGCGTAGGGATCTGAGGAACGGACTGGTTCGTGGGTTTAAGCCAGCAAGAAGGGTTGTGGTACGGAAGGATGGCAAGGCTATGAGCAAGTAAGCTGTACGCGCTGCAATCGCTTAGTTTAGTAATGATATTGGACAAAGTCATTGACTGTCTTGGTACGCACAATCTGTGTTCACGTCTGCATCCACATAATGTTGTAGCAAGCAATGCACCTTCGGCCAGCTGTGCCTTTTCTAGTGATCAGGCTTCATTCCCTTGGGCGAGGAATAAATTGCAGTGAATGTCGGGATGATGCCACACTCACCGCCCAGCATGGATGCGGCAGAATCCAGCTAATGAGAGGCCAGAGATCTCTCCAGCTCTCAACGCCATATCACTGCCCTCACAGCTGCACCTATAACTTCAATATACCATGCAATTTCACCCATATTTTATAACCCCTCATATTGACTAGTCAAAAGGCATCAACAGTACCTGTACCAAAAGTGAACATACGCGAGCTATTTCAGGTGCTCCCTATTGGTTCGCTAACACTCCTCTTCCACAGCTACCATTTACCCAGTGCCAAACCTCTAGTCATCTGATTTGTCTTGAGAGCCAGGCACTTATCACTGAATCAATAGGAGTTTCTGGCTCCGTCGGACTGGTTCATTTGATGAAGGACTGCGGCAAGGAAAGATGGCAAGGTACTGAGCAAGTAGTGGAGGTGCAGCGTGTTTGGTTGTTTAAAATTTGATGTAACGGAGTAAATGGCCATTTCGACCTCAGTAATAATTTTCATGTTCGGATGCAATGGCACAAGGTAGCAAGTGAAGCACATCTTGAGTACTCAATTACCTGTTGCAGTGACAAAGGCATCATACAACCGTGGATATGTGTCCTATGCCGCGACTTACAAGGCACTTGCTTGGTCCCTGGGAACTCTCCATCCTCTACAGGGGTGAGTAAATTGCAGTGCAGGTAATAATGCAGCCCTACGTTTGCCAACCTTACCCAGTCAACATGCACGATGCACACTTCTATTAAGGAGCTTAGCATAGCGCCACAGCCCTTCGAAATGATGGTCTTATTTTTTCCAGGGCCCAAATTGATATAGAGTGTACTTAACACTGGATGGCTGTTGCTGAGTTGCGCACAAGAGAGTCTTGTCACTGCATTGTACGCTACACAGAGCCACCCGCACGTCTTGTTACATTTCATCCAGGGTGCCCCTAAGTCACTCTCTTAGCTGCGGACCTCCCCTAGGGGAATGTTCATTCCGTGCCTTCCTTTGTAAGGCGAAACCTCTGCAGGCTTCCATCCGCCACGCTGTAGTAATCCCTCATCTTCGATCTTGAAAACTTCAACCTTCAGCGGCCTGCAGCACTTGATCATCTCCTCCTCGCTGTCCTCGCCGAAACCCCAAAGCGACAAGTCACCTCCAGGGCAGGTACCTATTCAGCTTGTGTCAGCCCATTCCGCACTGTCAATTTTCGTAAGCAATTACTCACTTAAAGCCATGAGAACATCCTGCTCTGCCAGGAACTCGATATAATCCCCTGGTCCAGCCGGGCAGGGGTTCATGAAATACCGTCCCTGCTCATCCAGGCCCGTTGACTGAAAAATATTGATAACATCGTGAACATCGCTCTCGTTCAATCCGTGAGGGATCACAGCGCGAGTGAGGTTCGAATGGCACTGGAAATCGTAGCTTCCTCCGCTAAGGATGCTGTTGATGTACGGATCACATCGTGTACCAAGCAAGTCGTGCACACGTCCGCCATGCTCATCCTTGCCGTACCACGCCAGTGTGTCCGCGATGATGGTCACCAAGGGACGAATGTACGGCAGGTTTGACCACAGACGGTCGCCAACAGAGACATGACTTGCGTGCAGCTGACGAGTGCGAGAGGCCCAGAACCGCTCGCGGGGGTTGTGAGCGTTCCAGATGTTCAGGTCGCATGCGTCATGTCAGCTTGGACTTCCACTGGGCAGTATTGCTCGACTAGTCGACACCAGTCGCACTCGGTGCTCAGGGATCGGGCATTCGCCCAAACTTACCAACTTGAGGTCCCTCAGGCGTGCTAATCCTCACAATCGAACCAGCGGGCGCTTTCCACGCCTTGCCAGAACGAATAGGCAAGGTGAACTCCTCCACCAAAACTCTAGGAGCCTTCTGCGCGGACTCGTAAAGCACCTTGTCCACGGTAAGTGGTGATCCGGCCGTGGCGAGATAAGCCGGAACGGGCTTCGGGATCGGCTTGCGGTCCTTGAGCCGCTGGGCGGGGTCGATATCGGCAGCGGACATTTTCCAGGTCTAAAGTTGTACAAAAAGATGCAAGATTGGTTAAGGAATCAAGAAAGTCATCCAGGAGGACTCTGACTTTAAGAACATGAACGGCGGGCATCAATGATAAACCCCGCAGACGCCCTTACGTAAAGGCCGAGATTCGTGATCCGAAGCCGCTAGCCCACTATCTCCACAACATGACTCCGGTGTTTAGCGCACGGAAGGAGACTCCGATCAGTGTCGGAGTCTCTTGCCCAGGCACTGGAGCACTAAGGTTTAGCGGTTACCTGCAAAGCCATCTAAGCAACAAATACTAGGACTAAACCAACACAACAGCAGCCGTACGAATTCAAGAAGATAGAGGCAAGCAAAGGATTAAAATAACCGGAGCAGTCTAAATTTTCATTGCGCGCATTTCTCTATTAAACGCTAGTGTATTAAGTACCAGATTTAAACGCAGGTTAGGTTGTTGAACAGCGAAAACAAAAATTAAAAAAAAAAAAAAAAGACGTCGGCCGTTGGAGATTCTCCAGGCTGTGATGCCTCGTGGGCGAATCGAACGCCCGATCTCCTCATTACTAGTGAGGCGCTATACCACTTAGCCAACAAGGCTTGCTTCGGAGTGCGAGATGACATGCTAAGGACTTCAGGGGAAGAGGCCACTGCATGGATAGTGCGGTTGGCCACAACTGAGACCCATCCCCGATGAGCGACATCATAGGGAGGCCATGATAAGAAGCTGGCTTCGAAATGGAACGTCTCTCTAAAGCTTTTACTAGTGTGCGGCTTCGCTGGTCTGGGCTGTTGAGTTTGTCTTGACTCTGGCGACGTATCGGAGACTTAAGAGGGAACTGGCGCAACACTCTTTAAACCCCAGCTACCGTGTGAAAGAGAAATTGGGAATGGAACTGACACTGAGCTGAAGTGACCCTCTCCCAGACCTGTCCGTCAACGCCACTATGCCATTCTCCGGCGCCACTCTACTCAATATCCCTCACCATCCAGATGGACCCCTTCTCGGCAGTAGGCCAGACCCGGAACCCCATCTTCTCATAAAACTTGACAACCTTCTCATTCTCTCCACCAACACCAATGTGCCATCCCTTGCCGTACAACCTCTCGTCTCCACCCTTGGCCTTATCAGCTTCTCTCAGACTCTCCTCAAACTTGCCAACCAGCTTCCTCCCCCATCCCTTGCCTTGGTAGTTCTCGAGCAGGTCGATATGCATCGTACCCTTCCACTCTCCCCACAGGTCCTTCCTCTCATCGTCCAGCACAAGCCACGTCGGGTTCCAAGCCTGCTGGAGCAAAGCCTCCTCGTTCACCTCTCCCGAGGGCAAGTTCCACGGCGCTTTAGTCTCGAGGCTCTGAGGCCGCCTACCAGCCAGCTCCGGTGACGTTTCGAGGACTTCCTTGACGTAACGATCATACGCGGCCGCGAAGTCGTTGACATTGGGGCAGCCGATGCAGTACCCCACCACGCGACCGGTGCCGTCGTCGAGAACGTGGCAGGTCGAGGGCGAGAGGAGCGTGTACTGGTGCGTCCAGAGGAACGGCGCCATCCGAGTGCCTACCTCGGACTTGTCGAGGGAAGGAGGCAGGGTTGCGCGGCACTGAGAGCAAGGTTAGCAGGGCTTGCGGATGTGGGATTAGGTGCGTACGATGTGTGCGGTGTCCTCGAAATCGGAGGGTTTACAGTTGCGGATGAAGGACATGGTGACAGAGTCGTTTGTTAGCGTGCGTCGGAAAGAGGACTCGACGTTATCGTTGGGCCTCAAAGCGCTTTAGCCAGCAGGTGTGATACGTCACCGGCGAGCGGGGGTTTCTCTGATGATGGTTCGCGATGAGTAATGTCGACTCAAGTGATCCGATGCGGGTATTTCAGCCAAATGTAGCAGATGATCGTGATGCTCGAGATGCTTAACTGGATTCGGTAGGCGGGCAGGAAGACTCGATATCGGTTGATGCTTACGGAAGGTTCGACGCCCGGTCATGGGGCCGTTTTAAGTAGCGCCCGGCCGGCATTCCGGGCCGATGCTGGTTCCCCCGCATCGCACTGCAGAGTTGCGCCGAAGAATGCCACCTTTCATCTCATCTCACAGAAGACTGTTAAGCGGCAATTGTGCAGGAAGAGAGTACTTTAGATTTTATCATTGCTCCGCGAATAAAAAACAGAGCCAGATTCACTCCACTGGCAATGTCGCTTGCTGCTCCATTTGCAACAGAATCTCCATCCATTACTTGGGAACACAAACACATGACGCCGCGTTGTTGCCTGTGCATGCGCTGCCCCCGCGTTTCTGTAAATTCAACCGTCAGTACGGTAGCTCATGAAGTATGTTTTCCCCCTATTTCATCTACCAGCGAGGAGTTGAACTCACCTTGCCTTGCTTCCCGCAAAGGTCATTACAAATGGCGACAGAATCGCAACCCGTTCCTGGTGTTTGTGGTAGTGCGCTCGCGAGGCAGGCAAACGTGACGAAAAGCATTGAGAGCGAGAGGACCTTCATGTTTGCGGCTCGTGGAGTGTTACTCAGGCGAATTTAGACAAGTCTGTTTCAAGGCTTAAGATTCTTTGCATGGCTGTGGTATTAGTCTGCTTTCTCGGGAGTTGAGGAGGTGCTGGAAAGCGTGTCTTTATACCGTTGAAAAACCCCGTCGGGCCCTTTTCCGAAGAGCAAGTTATCGAGTCCTGTGTATCTACTGAGACCTATATCTCGAGTGCCATACCGAATAGCCTTCGAAGCTCCTGGTCCCAAGTTTCAGACGACGTCGCCTGAGTCGTGTTCACCGCTTTGCAAAAGAGGACGATCTTGCCGTATGCGGAGGTAATTTCCCACGGCGTCACGGGCTTGTCCGCCTCAGACGTGATAAAGTTCGTCCAAACATCGCAGAAGCTTTCCTCCTCGGGCTCATCAGGCCAGACTGTCGGGTTCTGCCAGAAGTCTCTCCGACAGACATGCCACTCGACCCGCTGCTTTTGTTATGGTATAAGAAAGGCCACCCTGCTGAAAGATGTCTCCGTAAGTATGCCATGTTTCACCGCGCAGCGAGGCCTCTCTCCACACGTCGTTTCCTGAAACTTGATCATGGACACGGAGATTTCGGAAATATCTTGTCCTGGAAATGCAATCCCGAGACTGGAGGCCATGGAAGATTCAAGGACGGCGCCCTGTTTCAACCGCTGATTTGCAACCTGCGGCGCTCATCTCGGGTCTTGATTCTGTCATACGGCGATTTCATGGCTTGCCCAAGTCCGAAAGCGCACGTTGGTAGCAAGCTCAATGGCGGGATGCAAACAGGCGAGGTATAGCTGAATCTAACGACAGCTTCGGTTGACTAGATTGGCATGGACATTGCCATCCGCAGGATCACAGAAGTCATGGTCATACTCACATCATGTCTGTTATTCATACACTGAGTGACTCCTCCTCTATATCAAAACTCCATGCTTCTCTTGCAAGAACCCGACCTCTGTTCTACTTTCCTCTCTCTTCTTCCCCGAACTCTTTTTCTACAGGCGCTTCCTGCTTCACTTATTCCGTACTTCTTATCTACGCGCCATCCTAGACTCGGTAAGAGACGTCAGTCCCATCTATTCACTCAGAGAACCGACACAGAACAACCAAACCCCGGTTTTCATCTCAGCCAGAAGGGACGCAGGCTTCGCGATGCTCCGTAGGCCTCTCCGTAACCACAGGATCCCAACAAGTGGGTCATCGCCTATAACACTCAGCCCTGATGGTCTAGCGGTATGATTCTCCCTTAGGGTTGTCTTCACGACGCCTCAATCTGGGAGAGGTCCCAGGTTCGATCCCTGGTTAGGGCCCAATCCTTTTGTAGGTTGTGCCAGAACATAGCAATCTTTGATTTTTTGTTCGCGTTTTCTTGCGCCTACTTTGCTTTGTTTGTTTGTTAGCTTCATTCGTACGTGAGGTACCAAGCTATCTGGAATGCATTAAATAGCAGCTTATAATAGTGAGCTAAGTAGTAGGTAGAGTGTAGGATGGCCTTTAGTGCTTTACGGCGATTTTGACCTAGCTAGAGGGGACAGGTATTGCGGCGGGGTTGCGTGGGGTTATCGTCGAGACCACGCCTGCGCCGAGGACGTGAGGGAGTTGTGCATGCGACAAGGTTTGCCTGGCCTTGCTCGAGGAAGAGAGTACGTGTCAGTACCAATCATCATCAATATGGCCACGAGACATGTCGGCGATCCATCCGGAGCATCAAGAGCCGGCGAGGTTGTGGGCTGACACTAACAAGAGAAACAAACACTACACTTGTCAAGTACGAATGTTCACAGGAAGAAACGATGTGAAGCCCGAATGATTTGATTTTTCCCACGGTACGCTACCTGGTACGTGGTATATCGGCCCAGCGTAAACCCCATCCTTAATACAGTATAGAAACACTCTGGTATTCTCCAAATTGAAACCACCATGCACCCATCTTCCAAAATATTGAGATCCTGCACGCGGCAGACGCCAGGCCCACCTCCAAGACGCACTCCATTTACCGCGAAACCCAGGACCCCGCCTAATTAAGATCTCTCCAGGAGTCAAGATCCAATAAGTCGCTCACCCACACGAGAGAGGCGAGTGAGAAGGAGTGTAAGAATAAGAAATATACAATAGAGACCACACCATTGTGCGGTGATCATGTAGTGGGAAATAGAAAGTAAAACAACAGTATAGAAAGGATTTTCATAGATTCGTCATGACCATTTTCTCTCCCGTCCCCTTTTCCAGCTATCCGTGCGATAATGGGAGTAGATTAGAATCGAAATAGAAATATTGTAACCAACTGAAATGTCTTAGATCATGCCGCCCGGCATGGAGCTGTTGTTAACGCCGCCGGGGATAGCCGTTGGAGGACTGTTGCCCCGGTTCATGCGAGCACGCATGTTCATGCCGTTGGCCTCGCTGATGGTCTTGCGTAGTCGGCGTCGCTGGCCCCCTTGGGCATCCTCATCGTCGCTGATGGAGAAGGCGCTGTTGCCATCACCATTGGGGTCGCTA